TGTTGCTCGTAGGTTCATCCATGGAACCAGTGATGGAACCTCCATCTATAGCGCCTTGCTCGACTCTGATCTGTGCCGCCAGTGACTCCGACATGGCGTGTGTTGAATTTGGACTAGCTGTGTTGTGCGTTGGCTTGTGTACAACTTGATAGACTCGATTGCAAGAAATAGAATATGTAGCGGTTTACAGAAAAGAGAAAGAGAGGTGGTGGGCGTGTCCAAGATTCGAAACCAAACAAGTTGTACCGTGACGGAATGACCTTTCCAGAGGATCCGTATCCGAATTTGCAATGGGAGGTGAGGATTGAGGGTGGGGTGGCTTGCTGCCAACCCTCCAATTCGAAAATCAACTCCCCACTTGCTTCCATCGCTTCTAGTCCAGTGGAGCACATAATTCGATGAAATATCTAGATTGGAGCAGGAGGAGCACAGAATGTTCGAGTTCTAACACGGGATTTATCGAGTGGAGAGAGAAAAAACTGTGAATTTTGCTGGCAAAGATGACGCATTGGATGAGCACAGCAAACCCTTTTGACGATCGACAAACACTCTATTATGATTGAAAAAACATTGTCAACTTTTGAAGGCGGCGGTGGAGGATGGCCAGGAAAAGTCTCAAAAAAGGCAAAGCGTGCCGTTGGCTTGGAACCGGCCCTCAAGTCACAATTTATCCGTCGACCCGACAGGGAATCTTCTCAAGGCCGTCACTTACAAAACACGACATTTATATGGAGAACATGCATGATAGTTTTGTTTTGTGCGGCGTTTTGCTGTGCCGGTCATCCCGACAGAGAGAGAGATGAGATTGCAAGGTTGCCCTCTTCTTCGACAAGCGTATGTACACAAATGTTACGCAAAGGTGAGCCAGCATGGGCAGTCGTGTTTCCCAGAGCTCTCGTACCCTGCTCCAACGATCACCCCCTCTTTGAGATTTGCGAATGCGCCCGTCCCACTCCCTGGGATGACCTTCCACTCGCCAATCGCCTTGTACTCTCCATCTTTGCCGAACGTACCGTCACAAGTGAACACAATCTCTCCTTCTCCTATGAAGATGAAGATTAGTCGCTTTGCACTGCCAGGGCGGTATAGATGGGGTGTCACGCACCCTCAAAGTTTGCAGTGGAACTGGCCTCAGCGGGCACATCGATCGTACCTTTGAAATACATGAGGCCATTATACGTAACGAGCATACCCGCTGCCTTTGCTCCCGAATCTACAAACGATCGGTAAGATCACTATGCCCACCTCTAGGGACGGCACGCACCACTATTGGCTTCCTCTTTCGTAGGATGGTAGATGAACGTATACTCTGCGACCCCCTTTCCCTTCATCCCGCCTTTAAACGTGCGCTCCGTGCGCGTACGCGTGATGCGCAGCGTTTGGCCTTCGAGCTTTGGTACATCCTTTTCGTCCCAAGTGTCACAGTCGAATGATGCTTCAATTTCTAATAAAAGAGGTGTCAATATAAGAGCTTTCGGATGATATTTGGGGCGGAAAGGAAGCCACAAGTAGTACGAAGGACTACTCACTAGTCATGATTCAACGTATAGAGATAGAAGAAGAGCTAAAAGTGGTCTTGGAACGATTTGGTCTGGTATTTCTGCTTGTCTTGATCCTTGCCTTTTTATACGCCTACCACGTCCACTCCACCCGTCCAAGGGTCACCTGCTGACCAATCCAGGTACCCAATCCCATTCATTTCCCCGTCGAAACATTACTAATAAAGCAAGCGAGTTGTTCAATCGATATGACGAGGTGGTAGAAGGTGTGGCAAATCTGTCAGCTGGACCAAGGCACCAAGTCCAACTCTGCCAATCGACAAATTAACGTTCCACCTCGTTTCATAGCATCCTAACCTGGCAATGCACTTTCTCTAATCTAGGCTAGCGTAATCCAACAATCGCAATCATGGGACTGCGGCCTGCTCTCGTACCCTCCACCGACCAACACCCCATCTTTCAGCCCAGCAAATGCACCAGTCGCACTACCCGGAACGACCTTCCACTCTCCGACCGCTTTAGCGTGGCCGTCTTTGCCCCACGTGCCCTCGCATGTAAACGTCAATTCGCCTTCACCTGGCAAGGGGTGAGACTAAAGTTGGAGAAGAGGAGAGCAGGCGTACCTTCAAAGTTGGCGGTCGCACGGGCTTCGGCGGGTATGTCGAGGGTACCTTTAAAGTACATCACCCCATTATACGTGACCATAGGACCAGCCGCGCTCTCCGGCGCATCTACGACAGTCATCTTAGACGAAGACGAAGGACGACGGGAGGAGGGAGGACGTACCGCCTTTGGAAGGGTGGTAGATGAACGTGTATTCGGCGAACCCTTTGCCGTTTATCCCACCTTTAAAGGTACGTTCGGTGCGGGTACGCGTGATGCGGAGCGTCTGGTTGTCTAGCTTGGTGACCTCCGTCTCAGTCCACGTATCTCCACTAAGCATCCCCTCGATTTATAGAGGAACAAGAGGTGCGGTTAGTACGTTGGGTTTGGCTTTGGTGATAGTGACGGGGATGGGGAAGGGTGCACTCAACTGGTCATGGCTATAACTTTCGACGATAGATCACTCAAAGAGGCTTTTAGATAGCTTCATATCTACTTTTCTCCCAACTTTTCTGTGGCCTTTTATGTACGCTAAGCCGGGCTCACCATCGTCGACTGGCTATTTTCGACAGCTTGCTGACCAACTAAACCCCTGGATGCATTCATTTGTACCGCAATAGCTGACTAAGAAAGCAATGAAAGGTTATTTGTTTATGAGTTGATCGACTTGTCGAAAGGAGGTTTCGACGGGGAAGCGGGACCTACGAGTGACAACCAATCAGCGGAAGGCTAGCGCTAATTGAGAGGTCAGGTTTTGCCACACCTTCCAGTTTGATGGGCTTAAAGAAAGTTGTTTGATAATTAAATGTTCTTGCTACAGGTTTTATTAAAGCTCCTAATGGCGGAATTTAATTAATAAATGAAAGAATACTAGTGAGTATACGGGATCCGAATACTTTTACGCATAGTATAGTGTCTTCAGGCTCATCGTTCTGATACCTATAGTCAGATCGGCATGGATTCGAGCTTTGTTCCCTCTTCTTTCCTCATGAAGGTCGGCTCTATTAGCACCCGTGCCCAATACCCCGGTTATATCCAACGATATTTTGATTTCCAGATCAAATATCTATGGATTGAAGCGATGACATCAACTCTCTACACGAATAACTTGGTAGATACGCCTGATTCCTTCGCGAAGTAGCCCCTAGTAGTGCTATCATAGAATTAGGGCATAATACACTACGCGCAGGATCAAATTTTGTGCACTTAAAATCAGTGAATTAGTACTGGGGCATCTTTGTTTATAGACTACACAGAAAAGGTACTTATCAGAAATAAATAGAGGATAAATTTAAGTACTAAGAAATCGCAATTCACTGGTTAGTGGCTGATTAGCACCCCATTTAAGTGAATTATTGATACTACTAAAAATGGATTAGCAAATAAATTTGGGGAGGATAGCTGGAGGTGCCTTGCCACTTATACGATACTTTTAAGTGCACAAAATCTAACCCCGTGCCTAGTGATACCTGATGAATCCACCGACACGTGCCACCATGTACATGGCCCTAAAAAGGAGTTACAACTTCCTGGTTCTAAAACCACAAGTCTCATTCTCGGATTTTGGCTTCCTTACTTCGTGCACCTTTGCGGCGTATCAACGTTTCTGTCCCATTTAGCTGTACGGCAGCCTGTGGGCCGTACGCAGTGACGCAAACCTTGTTAGAAAGAGAGATATGCATTGACACCATTAGAAATTGCAGACGTAATTGCTCCGTTTCAGCTGTTGTTCCTTTGTTCCAGAAAAGGCTAGCAATGCCCATGCAACTCGGGCGCAAAATCTGACTTTGTTGTCAGGCTCGACTATTTGACCTTGCTCCCATCCATTACGTCGTACTTATGTCATTGCCACTGTGAGTCAAACGTCATGTCCCATCTATCTTACTTAGAGCCTGTTCTCCAATCGCAGATCTCGTTCCAACAGTGCTGCCACAGAGGCCGAGGTCGAGAGGCTTCATCACTTCATAAAGGCTCGGGAAATGGAACTAGATTTCGTGATGAAAGAACTAATAGAAGAGAAAAATAGACTCGAGACATGTGCTAAGGCGATATACAACCTGGAATTGGCTATCCCAGAAGCGAAACAACTCCTCAAAACCCACGAAGACAGCCTGGCTGCTTTCATTAATATCCAAACACTCCTCAACAATATCAAATTGACTCAGGAGGAGACTATGAAGGACGAGTCTCTGACCTCAACAATGTATTCCGATCTTCGGAGCTTCTCTACCAAAACAACGACACGCACAGCAGATCTGATAGATTCCCAGGTAATAGAGACAAGAAATAATCTTCGTATAACGCTGGATAAGATTTGTCATCTCGAACTGGAGTTGGCAGGATGGAAATCTTCCAAGCGAAGATCGGAGAAAACAATAAATCGACTAAAATCAAATCATTTAGACATTGAAGATGATATTGAAGAGAGCAAAGATGCTTTTAGGTCGATTTGGAAGATATCATCTGATGTGTGGGTCAAAGTATGGAAGTACTTTGTGAGAGAGGCTTTGGACGATTATCTGAAGAAAAATCCCCATGATCACGGAATGAAGCCACCAATATTGACTCTTTCACAAGTATGCAGCAGCTGGAGGCGCCTTGTTTACAATATTCCGGAGCTTTGGACACTGGTGTATGTTGCTCCGACACAGGTTTGGCGACAATGCGAGCACGATCTCTTCGTCAAGTCCATTGAAAAAGCACATTCACCCGTAACTGTTCTAACTAACCTATCTCAAGACTTTTCCATTTACTACCATAATCGGCGTTATAATCTGAATGGTCACCTAAGCGAGACTGTTTCTGTGAAGGAGAATACTGTACTTGGCGGCAAGGATTATGCACTCCTTCTGGACTGTTTTGATGACCAGGAATATTCTATGCAAAGAATGCAGTACCTACCTTTACGTCAGCCAGCCTCTCTCATTATTTCAGCACGATCCAGCCTTCGGCATCGTTATGACTTCAAACACCTATCCGGTTTCTCTTCCGTAAAGTGCTTCTCGGTCATCAATGATTTTCCATCCACTCTCTGCAGTATCAACATCTCCTCTTACTTTCCCCA